CTTAGCTCGCACATGCATAAAGAATATCTCTGCAAATTTACAGCTTTGTACTTTGTCCGGCTCGCGAAATCGTTTTCCACCAAAGAAATTTGCATATTTTTTTTCGGAGATCCGTACGCGGGGTCTAGGCGCGTGTGGAGATCTTAAAACGGAAGGGTGACGCACGGGATAGGAACATGTACCCAAAATTTCTGTCTCTCAGCTCTCCTGACTGCTGAGATGAAAGTGGGTGACAAAATGCACTCGCTTCCAAACACAAATGCACTCACGCTTTTGCTGGCTGTAGCAGTGCTATAGCGCTGCACAGTAAAAACGCATAAAAATGCACACAGTTCCACTGTGCTGCTTCCAGTAGCTTGCAAGTATGCACAACAGTTGCACCTCTGTTTTTTTGCCTTCAAAACCTCACAGAAGCAAAGGCTGACTTCATCCCCATGCATTCAGTCTACCCTGTTTTTGCTCACTGATATCCTACAAAGGAAATTATTTGCTGTTAGCTTTAACTAAGCATAAGCTTCATTAAGAGGGAAGTCCGCTACTGACGACGAGTTTTTATGAAACGACTTCCACTAGCAAAAATTCAGTTTTTTTTTTGCTTTTATTCGTAAATTCAGATTAGCTTCATTTTACTTTTCTTTGTGGCGCAGTGTTATCTGTTTCTCATTATTGCTGTCTCCAGATATTGTCTCAAGCTCCCGACTTGCATCCTTGTTCCCCTGCTCTATTCTGTCCCCAAATCTTGTCTGCAAAGTAACATCTGAACTCCTCTCTATCCCCACTATAAGAACACAGTGCAAGCAAGCAGTATTTTCCCCTCCCGTACCCCAGATATCCACGGTAAAAACCAGAAGCATACTTCCTCATCCTTTCTATCTACCACCTCTCCCTCTCCCCCTCTAAATGTACGTTACCTAACCAACCGACAAAGGATCTACGCCACTTAGTCATTAAATCCGCCTATCCCAGCCCCCTCCCCTTCCTCGAACGAAACCTCCAACATACCACACCCACCTCCACCTGCCACATTTTAACTCCCGCCATCCGCCCTCGGGCATCCCTACCAGCCGCCGGCAAAGAAAATTTTTTGCAGATCGTGTATGACAGCGGCCGAGCCGAGCCGGGTTATGGCCCGAAATAAGGCAATCACAATAAATAGCAACGCGCACCAGACTAGCGGGTGCAATCATGCGTTTTGTGCAATTCAGCCCATCGAACGATTGCCTATTAATGATTTTCACTGGTTTGTGCTTTAGTCTATGCAAAAATAGTTGAAAGAAAAATAGTTAAAAATTTTACGCACCTGCTCATGAAGGCTGAATTCGAAACCTTGAAGGGTGAATATCTTCCCGTGATTCCCGAGTTTACTCGCCAAAATTTTCACGAGGCCTTAGGCGATACCGAGAACGCGGGAACGCTGAATTTGAATAGGCAAGGTTGAGCGTGGGCAGGGGGGTCATTGCCGTAAAATTTCAGCTTCCTAGACTCCGTGGTTCCCGAGATAATAATTTACCCGTAAAAAATTTTCACGAGGCCGTATTTTTACCAGCGGGCAGGAAAAATCTGAATTTAAACTTTCTGGGTAGCACATGGGCGGGGGACATGCTCACAAAATTTCAGCTTTCTAACTTCCACGGTCCCCGAGATACTGATTTTACCAGAAAAACTTTTGCAGGGCCGTACGTGTTACCCGCGGGTACAGGAAGGCTGAACTTAAGTTTGCCGCGTCATTCATTGGCGGTGAACACTCTACTAAAATTTCAGCCGCCTAGCTTTTGTGGTTCCCGAGTTGAAACTGCGGGACAAAATGTGGGACATACACACACACACACACACACACACACACACACACACACACACACACACACACA